AAGTTGTTCCGTGTAAACGAGCATACATTTTCAGAAGTTATAACTACAGTTGTTGTTAAACCGGTTTTAAGCTGCCGTGTAAACAAAGTCATTGATGTTTTCTAAACATCGATTTTTTTTACCCATCCCTATAATATGGTCATGTGACCAGCTGATTGGCTGGTATAAACATGTACGGATTTGGACATTGCGACGCTAATGCAGAACAGATTGTTATTATATATATATATATATATATATATATATATATATATATATATATGATTTTGCATTGGCGTCGCAATGTCCGGATCCGTACATGTTTATGCCAGCCAATCGCAGAGTAGCTGCTTGACGATTCTGGATGCTTTCCAATTGCTTAATACATCTTGACACACACGTATACAAAACTAGTTTATTGGTCACATATTATCTAAAATATCTTGTAAGATAATATGCAACCAATAAACTGGTTTTGTGTAACACAGTGTACGCAACTGGAAAGTATCCTCTCTACTAGAGGTTCTCTACTAGACTGCGTTCCAAAACTCTACTCGACGGATGGAGTAGCATTTAATTGACCAATAAAAACAAAGATAACTAAGATTTCTTTATCATGATTGGCCAATTAAATATATTCTACCCACCTAGTAGAATTTTGGAACGCAGCCCTAGAGATCTTTGAGTAGAGACCACTGAAATATATACTACCTGGAACGCACGCTACCTCTTGAGTGTTGCGGGATGAGAGAGAGCATGCTTGTAGGTCTCGAACAGCGCTTTGTCTTTGTCTAGTACAGTCTGAACCAAAAACTAAGTCGGATGATTTCTAAACTTAAGCTGAATTAGGAACCATCTTTCCTTTGTTTTTCTTAGGCCTGGTTGCACCAACATTATTTTGGCTTTTAGTGAAACTTAAATATATATCTATATTTATCTTTCTTTCTAAATATATAAAGATAGACGTATATTTAAGTCTCGCTTAAAACCAAAATAACGTTGGTGCAACTGGGCTTTAATAATAAGTCGATAAATGAATACTAATAAATGAGAAAAAAAAATATATTTTTTTATATATTAAACTTTCGTTCATAAGCTTAAGTCATTGCCATTCAGTGGTCACTGCTTTTCATATTATTTCTAACTTTTAGCTTGGATTGTATTACATTCTCCCTACTCTCGATTATATAATGATTTAGACAAGGATAAGAGAGAAAACAAGGAATCTCTCGCTCATCCCGCACGCTTTAAGAAGCAGCGCGCGTTTCAGGTAGTATATTTCAGGTATATTTCAGTGATAGAGACTGGCCATAGGGGGGCTCCGCGTGATTGGTGCACGTGACCTTTGCCCACTAAATGGCAGCGCCAACATAAGTTAGAGTGAGAAAAAATAGTTTCTTCCTATTTTGTCACATTTTTGTTACGCGTGCATCCATTTCTTGTTTCCATAATATTATAGAGTGCAATAGCATCTCGACTAGATTGGCAAGTAAAAGTTTTACTTAAACCTTATTGCACTCTTTGTCTGTGCAGAAAGAGACAGAGAACAGAGGAACTGTATATATTGGCTTCTCTTTTCTGACTGTATGCGGAGTCTATATACATTATGTCTTATGTGGTCTCTTTCTACATGTTGACCGTATGCGGGGTCCATGGAATAACCAACAGTTTAAGTTAACCAAAATTAATAGAAACGAGTATTACACATTCTTTTTTATAGCACTCTCTGCATTTTATGTGCTAACAAATTTTGCTTTTATTTAACTCCTGTTGGTAAATTTGTCGATAAAAATGGGCAAAATCAGTATAAATTAACTACAGAAGTGCAGTTTCATAAAAATAAGAAATTCATTTTATTGTAGGTTTATATGCATAACGATAAAATATCAAAATAGTTATATGTTATAAAATAAATACTTATACTCTGAATGTCCAGATATATTTATATCGAATAGATAAAAATGATCGATAATATCATCCTTCTTCGATTACTTCTGGATCTCTTGGGATTAGGGTTGCCAATTGTCCGGTTTTGGCCCGGACTATCAGTTTTTCAGGAGTTTCCGGTTCAGGAGTAGTCCGGTTGACTATTCAAACCGGACGTCATATGTCCGGTTTTTAAATACATCCAACTAATAAAATGCAATTTATATCATAAAGAGAAAAATTTATAAACAGAGTTTGGATTTCAGTGATATCTTTTCATTCCAAGCGTCCATTAACGATCATGCACTGCGAAAAACAGTGTGAGAAGCATGGATAGATATTTTCAAAAAGTGTAATTTTACTGCAAACAACTTACTAAAAATAGTTTAGGCCATACTTTCAATACAAACAAGTAATGCTTTCCCAGGAAGAGTTTTCAGCTTAATGCAGCAAGTATGGAGAAAATCAAGAAATAGAATGGAAGTTGAACTAGTCAAAGCTGAATTATTTACTGTCATTAATTTTCACGTCATGTAATGAATTTGTAAAATATGCCAAATCTAAACCAAATCTATTAAAAGCAGTAAGAAATACAGAGAAATACAAATTTAATTAATAAAATGGCCTTTTTATGAAGTTAGACTATAATATTAATGTTATATCATAAATTATATTTCATATATTTTATGTTTTAACAAATATGTTTTAACAAATATTAAAATTTTTCATTTTAATATGTTATTAAATGTTTTAAATATTTTAACAAAACGTTTACAACGAATTTCATATACATAAAACACTAAATTTCATATGTATAAAAAATTTAATTTTGTTTTTAATAATATAATATATTTTATAAAGAATAATAATTTTTGTATTATTTTATTCGACCAGTCTGTTTTAAAATAGTATTCGGAAAACGATATTGTAATTAATTTCTTATTAAATTGTATATTTCGTGTATCTAGTTTTATATGATGTTACTGTCCGGTTTGTCCGGTTAGATTTTGTTATCAAAGAAAATATGTTCGATAATTTAGATTTTTGGATTTGGCAACCCTACTCGGGACTCGTTTATCAGTATCAGCGAGAAGAAAAAAAGGGGCAATGAGCTTCTTTTAGCCACCCATATAGCACAGAGAATTAAAAAAGAATTCAGTCGTATGTCACCAATTCTGAATTTATTTTTATATGCAAAAAGAATTCTTTTCATTAAACTGAATTCTGAAGAATTCTTTTTGCATTTGAAAATGAACTCAGAATTGGTGACATAAGACTGAATTCTTTTTGAATTTTTTTTTAAATTCTTTGTGCTATCTGGGCAAGCTGTATGCGTGAAATGCTTTTTATACAATCGTGCACATGAACTATGTAGCCAATATCCATGATTTCTTAGTTCTCTTTTGTATTAAATATACGAATAACATGAGATAGACAAAGATGGACAATCATCTATCTTTGTCAAACTTGTGTCATTTGTGTATTTAACACAAAACAGAACCAAGAAATTATGGATATTAGCTACATAGTTTATATATATGGTTGTACAAAAAGCATTTCGCGTATCAGGTTCAAAGTTCAGAAGTAGTAATTTCAGAGAGGGAGAGAAATCGAAAGAAATGATCCTCCAAAATTTTGGATACTGAGAGTTAATTTAATTTATTAAAATAATAGAAATAAGGTGAGATGGCGCAAGTTTAAGATTGAGTGGTGTGATGCAAAATTAAAGATTAAAGCGCTGTGATCCAGATTTAAAGATGAATGTGTGAGGATTGTGTTTAATATCCCACAACACAAAAAGATCAGAATATTATAAATTTCTATTCTGTTTTTATCATCACGTGATCTTGCATACCGCTGCATAACGGTCAATTCTCGAAATTATTTTTTTTTATTATCTATTTTTATGTACTATATCTTTATTTCTTGTTATATAAGTTTGACTAACTACCCAGATAGCATGCATGTCTAAAAGATGTCGAAAAGATATCTAAAAGACATCTTATGCAACATTTTGTTGCATAAGACGTTTTATAACGACGAGTCATAAATTTCAAAAATTCGTCGCAAGCTAAAATAATAGGCAAATTAATATTCAAAATTAAGCAATCGTCATATATAAATTTACGAATAATTTAATCGATCGATGAAATTAATTAATAATTAAACTTTTGATTTGATGATTATACACTGATTAATAATTAATTTCATCAAATATGAAATTACCAAACGATTAAATTACTCGTGTTTACATACATAACGGTTGATTTATTCTGATTAACTTGCTGATTATTTTAATAAAATAAAATTTTAATCGATTAATGCCGAATACTGTGCTCGCGGGTCATGCTGTTTTACTTTCTTTTTGATAAAATTTCTAAATTTATCCAACTAGATTTGAATGATACATCCTGATAATATTGGCAGATCCCAAAACTCTATCTAAAGTTATTTTACTTTAATTGTACAAGCTGTCGTTTTGCCAAATATACCCGCGTTCTTAGAAATTATAGTTTAAGGAGATGTCATATTTGAAAACTTTATCAATAAAATATTGATTTTTTCCTGTAAAGTTTGCGCAGTCTTAATTACATAGAATTAGAAATTCTTTTACACAACGAAAATATATACAAAAACATATTGAAACATTGCTTAATCTATAACAATTGATATCTCGAGCTGTCAGTTAGCGCAAATATTTGTCTGATACAAAAGTTCTGCAGCTTGTATATGCCGAACGTGTGTTTGCTTCACTCAGAAAATTTTTAAACAACGTTTCCTTACCTTTACTACGGAATTTAAATACTTACCCTTTGTGTCAACATCCAAAAAAAGTTGCATGTTGGATTATGTTGCATTGTTTTCAACGATTACCAGTAAGTACGGCACGAAAAAGTTTTTGGACATTATAAGAATACATTATAAGCATAATGTTACAAATATATCGCCAAAGCTAGTTGACACTAATAATTCTTATATAATCGTTAAAATCGAGCAACCCAATTCATGATCATTGAAATAAATGAGTGATTACATCATGGCATAGTAGAGTATTTAGACGGAATATTATTTGGAAAAAGAGCACATATTAGTGAGCAGAGATGAAATAATAAAAAAGCAAATTGTCAGCAATGCGAAAAAAGAAATGTGAAATTTCTTAAGATTGTTTAAAGAATTATCGAACTTTATTAATAAAATGAGAAAATTAACTAAAACAATTTTTTTCTTTTAATTAAATAATAAATTATTTGGGTCAAACAATAAAATATTTGAAAAGACAAAGACAATTATATTTGTTGGATAGAAAATTAACTTATTTAGGTTATTTCGATAGATACATATTCGTTTGAATTTAATAAAATTTATTAAATCTCAAGAAACCATTCATCTTGTGCCTTTGTAAATTTGTAGTATGGCATGTGGGATAGAAGTAGCTTTTTAATTAATATACCATTAAAGAAAGAAAAGAAATTATGATGAAGAGAGAGAAAAAATTTCTGGAAATTATGTACCCTACGATAGGATTTATGATTCATTGAAGGGAAGATTAGACGGGCTCGGAATGCACTTGAAGAATTTCAGAATAGTCGCAGTTGTTTTATAGCTTAGCATATGGATCAGAAACAACTCTTTAATTAATATAGCACGCTAAAAAAAAGAAAAAAATTTTTATCTTTTCTAAAAAAAATCTTTATCTTTTCTAAAAAAAATCTTTGAAAATTACGGACTCTCAGTTAGGATTTGAGGTTCTTCCAAGGGAAGGTTAAATGGAATATGGCCGAAGAATTTGAGAAAAAGGGAAACAAAAGAACATGGTACTGTAACAGGAAAACCAGACGATAGTGGAGGGAGAGAGTGTGCACATATATATGTATGAGTGAATGAGCGAGTGGGTGACTTGACAGACCGAGAAGAGAGGGGAAACGTAAACGGGACGAGAAAAGAGAGGCGTCAGATGAATCCGGGCGCTTGTAGAAGACGTGCGAACTTGTAGATCCGTGCGTATCCGGTGTCGTTAACGAAGCGTGAGGTTAAAGTTCGCCGCGAGTTTTTCCCGCTCCGGTTGTCGCAGGACACAACCGGAGCAGAGCGCGCAGTTTCAAATGCGCGATTGCCGCGAACGTCGCGTCGCTGTCCTCATTATGTGAAACGTCCGGTAGTAATGTGCAAATGCTCAGGTTAATCACGTTGATTGCAATGCCACCGTTACGAAGGGCGTTGTAAAATCGATTGGCCGAACGTCCTCGAGAAGAAAAAACGCAAACGACAAGAGCGACCGATTAACTCGCAGATCGGACGCCGATAGAGGAGCGCACGCAGTCACTTCGGTATTTAACTTCGCCCGAGGTAGACGAGACGAGATCAGAGAGCAAGGAGAAAAGGGCGAGCCAGATCGCAACTCCACAAGTGAGTCCCGGCTGCAAATAAGCGACTGAGCGGAGCATTAATTAACCACCTGCTTATCCTGGGACCGAAAGTCCGTGATACACTAAGTAGACTCCGGGGAAGCGAGTGGACTTCAAGACGCATCAGGGATCCGGCTTTTCAAGCACTTGACGATTTGAAAGTTACAAGAAGATTGAAAAACTTGGCTCCGTGCCAAGCCAAGCCGCGGAAGCTAAAATCGGAAGAGATGTAAGTTCCGGCGCGGAACGATTAAACGTTGAGCATGAAAGAGTAATAATTCAACGTCGCCCGTACTCGGGATCGGAACTATTTTCATTCAGCGAAACCCGGCTGTCTGGGAATTCGAATCCGATGACGCAGACGTAATTCGAAACTGCGGATTAGAAGGAAAATTCAAGGAAAGGAAAAAAACGAGACCAGCATTGGTGTGCTCGTGCACGAACGCATTGATAATTCGTTGGCGCGTTCGTTGAAAAATGCAACGGTGAGTTGCGTGTCCTCATCAGACGACGCGCTGGCAAACGTACTCGAGACTCGCCAGTTTTCATTCGCTCGGAAACAACTGTTGAAGCGAACAGGACTCTTCTTTGAAACCTGAGAGAGGAGAGAGAGAGAGAGAGAGAGAGAAAGAGAGAGAGAGAGAGAAACACAACGGTTGGCGTGCATCGATCGATAAAGCGTGAAACATATTCGCATAGAGAAGAAACTGATACGTGCTGCAGATAATAACACAATAAGCTGTGTACAACAAGTGAAGTCACGTTTCCGGAGAGTAGTCGCGAGCAGACGGAAGTGATAACCGGAGAATAGTAATTTGAAACGTGATGTCAAAGAGTTGTCGGAGGAGGGGATAACAATCAAAGGTGATTGTTGGTGGGTGTAGGACAAGCGGATGATTATAGTTTTCGCGCCATTATGCTCATCACGAGGTTTGTCTTTTTCGGTTTTGCGCTGCTTTCGATGCGGTCGGCGTCGTCGGAATTGACAAAATGTTGTCCGAGGGGGAATATTTACTTTGGATCTTCCGAAGTGTTCTGTATGGACGAAGAAGGCATGAAGATATACTTTGCTTATCCTAACAATACCAGGCCAGGCCTATACCGAGGACGTTTGCAATGCGTCAAACTAGAGGATATCGTGACAACGGCACTCGATGATTTTGTTGCTGACGAACACCAGGAGGTAAATCGCGCGACATACTCGTCAGATCGATCTTTCTCTGCTCCCGTCCTCGATTATGACTTCGAGGCCCCATTCATTTCAAGTGAAATGTCAAATGTCGGATGTTATCAACTACATTCCTTTAGTAATTCCTTTTGTAATTAAGCAAATTCATTAAATTTGCAATTTCATTAATTCAATTTGTCATGTGTAATTAAGAGAACTCACTTGGGTATTGTATTTCTCTTAACACAAGTATTAATAACACAAATATTTCTCTTATAACACAAGTTTATAAAGAGTTTTTTTAGTCATATAAATCAAATGATATTATCTAGTATATAGTATTACTTACGCTGAATTAAAAACTACAGAGAAATTTTTTCTATCATCCTGGTTTTTCTAAGTAATTCTAGTTTCAAAAAAATTGATTTTTTTTATACAGAGTCTGATATAAGACACGATAATGCTTGTATGAAATCAAATTAGGTCAAGCTGAACACAAAATTTCTCCACTACTTTGCAAATAACCACATAACATTTTAAGTTATTAATTAAATTTTTCAATTTGGCACGTTCGTTTTCATATAGAATTAAAGTCAATGATCACTATTTTGATTAATAAAATTAGTTCTAAGATAATTCCCTATAATTTCGTCTTTTTTCCGTGATAAGTACGTCCTTTGCAACAACTAAATACAATTTTTCACTCGAAAAAATGCTATTTTTAATGAAACTTCTTTACGTCGGACGCCACTTGTCGTGATCATAATCGGATCGTCCGTTTCGATTTCAATTGCGCGCCATCAATTTTATAAGTCAAAGTTAAATATAGGAATGTTGAATCCCTCTTGACAGATTTGATAAAACGTTTACAGATACCGGCTTGTTTCGATATACTTCACGATCCAAAAACCGGACTCAATGCAAGTACGGTAGTCATTCAATGTCGGTCCAATAAAGATCGGCAGGTTAACGAGTTAACCCCGCAGATCATATATATCAGAAAATGTTGCCCTCACGACACAATATTCGACAGACGCACGAAAGCTTGCGTGTCCCAGTTAAATAGTGCGCCGAGCCTTTTGTCGAATGAGACTGTCGATGAGGATAGTGTGATGATAATTTCGGAGGGTCCACCCAAATGCGAAGGTCCAATCGTCGATTACGAAATCGATGACTATGACGCCTCTTTGTGGAACGGTACTTACTCGGTGAGCGTAAGAAAAAACAAATATTGTCATAAGAATCAGCGTACACACGCTAAAGTCCGAGATAACAACTTTACGATGTTAATTTTCTGAGAATTTCAAAGTGCAATTTTAAACACTATTCTACTAGGATATATAAGATTTATACATCGTCGTTGATTATTATTAATTTACATTAATTATTATTGTCTTTTTCCTATTAGTGTTTCCCTATTCTCTCTTCCAGAATTGTAAAAATATCAATTAAATTCTTTTCGATTTAAGGCTCTTGATAACACACGATATTCTATAGATATTTTATAGATATCCTTAAGAGGTTTTCTCTGGACGTCTTTAGGATGTTCCTAGGAGATATATGCTGTTAAGGCAATCACCCCGGCTATATTGATGAATTGTCAGAAGCGAGGAAATTATGCCCCAAAATTCCTGCGAACCACAACTAAATAAAAATATATATCATTAAAATGACAATCTCTTTTGCATACTTGTGAAGTGTTCCAGATACTTCTTTTTTGCTGAAATAACTTATTACATAATTCCCAAATAAATGTGACAAATCGCCTCGTTTTGATAAAAAATCAGCTATGTGTCTCGGTGCCAAATATGATCTAATAATTATTTATATGCATTAAATATCACAATTCCACATAATTTCACATATGATATACACGCACTCAGTAATAACGCTGTGGTTCGTAGGAAAAAATTGATTGTTTGTTTACATCATTAGATTCATTCATTTTCAATGAACTTTGCATTAATGCAATAAGTTAGAGAGAGAGACAAGTGTACTCTCTTTCACTATAGATCTGTTCTTTTTAATTGAATTGCCTGAACTGGTGCACATTGGACCATATAACTTATTGTAATAGTTTGCACTTTGTGAACTTACTCTCTTAAAGTGAATCAGTGAATAGTCACTGATATCAGTTATAAGTATAGCACTGAGCACTTTCAGTGCAACACTTATAACTGAAAATCAATATATATTTACTGTTTTCAATAATGTTTCACTGATTCATTTTAAGAGTAATAATTCATTTACAATCATGTGGCCGTCAACACGGAATTTTCGGCTAACTAATCAGGAGCTTAATGATCCCCCTTAATGATTGATTTCGGTCATAATTTTTTTATAATCCAATGTTATAAAATTTTGTTGTAATTTTCACTTCAATATTTTTATCGTGTATTCCGTTAATATTATTTATATGCAGCGAACAATACTGTTGTTAAATAACCTAATTATTCTCCCATAAGAAATTATTGTTTTCTATCAACATTCTTGCACGGTTCCTATTGGTTGAAAATTAATTCTTAGTGGCTTTCTTGTTTCCTTCTTTTCTAAAATGTGTTTCCCGAAATAGAAATCTTCCAAACATTGCATTATTCATGATTTCGCGTTACGTCGAAAAATTAGCAGCTATTCATCTCTTCTGGGAGCACTGACGCAGGTTGAAGTTTTACATTACGTGACAAATGATTTGACAGGCGATGATTCCAATATCTAACCATGATTCCATCGTCAAAGAGGAGTATTTTGTTACCAAGGATAACGCGTGCTTCGATATGAAGCCGCATTCCGCGTCCAATCGCAGCATGATAGTACGCGTTTGCAGAGACCAGAAATATTGCGACAGAAACGCCTGTATCAGAAAGTGTTGCGCCGAAGATGAACTCTTTTACGCGCCGTATTGCAGAAAGCGCGTTACAGAAGGGGTGGCAGAATTTCACTCAGTCTTCACGAGAGCCTTGAACGCAACGCAGTCTTCTACTTTCGACGCCACCAAAGGTTGTTTTAACGAAATCTATGCTTGACGTTCTTCCACAGAGGAAACTTAACTCTCATTTGGGGTTCTAATTATATTGCGATATATTGTTACGTCCGGCAACGCGATGGAATTTCTCGCAAGCAGTGAAGATTTAGGGGATACTGCTTGACAATTGAACGCATTAGCAAGTCTGTAACGCGAGTCAATAATCTGGAGAGTCGATTTCACTTCACTTGACAAATCATTCATTCTTTTTATTTAGATTTAGGAACTTTCTTACTTAGAAATTCCTTTATTCGAGACAGGATAATATATTAAATGGAGATTGAAAGAACATGAAAATAATGTGATAAATAAAAAGGATTAAAATAAAAAGTAATGTTTATAATTAACAGTGGGTAATAAAAAACGTGGAGTTACGGTGCATCAGATATCACATATGTTTTGACATTATAATGAGGGTTACGATTTTTAATCTTGGACATATATGAACATAAGATTGAAAATCATAAAAAGTCCTAGTAAATGAATGTTAAGGCTTGTGACGTCTGGCGTATATTGTGATTGAATTTTCATAGCGAACCATTATTCATGAAACAAAATTTGACATTACAATAAAAATTGCAACCAATATTACGACGCGTATAGATCTTTTTTCGTAGCAAGCAAATTTTTTTCTTCTTCTCTTTTCTCTTTCTTATTTACAAGCAGAAATTCGGTAAAGTACGCGCATGGTTGTTTATGTGTTGGAATGCATATAGATCAGGAGAATACCTGGATTTGAACGCTTGAAGGAGAAAAAGAACTATGAATAATAAAAACAGGGAAGTATGTTAGATGGGTTTCAGTGTGGCGTGAAACATGCCACTGTGAATAGGAAGAAACGAAGAGTAGGTGGAGGGAGGAAGTAAAATCTTACTTACGACGTAAAAAGGTTTAATGCTCTCGGCTTCTCGGAGAAGTTTTAGTATATAGGATCCAGTATAGGATATTGTAATAGCCGTTCTTTGAACTTGGTTGATTTTCCCAGGTAGCACAAAATATTTCATGAATATTCTTATGAAATACGAATGCTTTTAATTCTAGAATATCCGAATCGTATATTCTGTCAATATATGTTTAATACTGTAGACAAAGATTCGTAAATCTGTAATAGAAAAGAATATCCTTAAAGTATTTGTAAGGATTATTTACTGAATATAATTGAAAAGTTTTTAAAATGTTCCAAATATTAGGTGTACAAATTCATGGTTTTCTGAATTCTCTCCATCTTATGCAAGCGATTAGAAATCGTTTGTTGGACGATACCAAGTTTTTTGACAAAGATTTTTTTGCAATAGCTGATTCAATTCCTCGTCTTCAATTTTTCCTAGCGCTTCAGAATGTTCTTGATCGGAATTACCATTCCGATATTTTCGATATCACTCTTTATATGTACTGTAAACCACAATACCTTCTCGTAAAACAGAGTAAATCATTTTCTTAATCTCAAAAACATTTTTTTTAATTGAAATGCAAAAAGAATACAGTCTCTGGTATGCTGCTTATCGAATAACATCGTGTTTAATACTACTTTGTGAAGTTATGTAGCGCTCTCTCTCTCTCTCTCTCTCTCTCTCTCTCTCTCTATCTCTCTCTCTTAGTTATATAATATTTTCTTACTTTAAAGGTTGACGCTCTCCAAAACTACAATGCGACGAGTAAAAGATTTTAATTTAAAATAAAGTTACAATCGATTAATTGTGACAATCACGAGTTAATTTGTACATTTAATATTTAAATTATTTCTTTATAATTATAAAAGCAAAATTAATGTGTTACATTCTAGAGGAAGCACACAACAATTCTTCAGTACTCACACTCGTGAGGCCCAAACATACTTCCCGGATTAAAGATAAAAAATCAGAAGAGTCAATTTAGATTGTTGCAGGTGACAGTAATTCCTGTTGGAAAACTTTCTTTCTCTCATTTTTCGAAGATATTCAAGGTAGTAATCGTTACAGTTTTATTTTGTCGCTCTTTATTAGGAAACAATATATTCTACTGGAGACTTATTTCATTTCTTTTATCGGACGAATAGGAGGTAGAAGAGAGATTATTTGAATTTTATTACATATATCTGTTTTACTTTACAATTCTGCCTTTTATTTGTTATCTCTATAATTATCAATAATCTGAGTGGGCAGTTCTGTGCAATTTTTGGTATCTGCTATTCTTCATGATATTTATGGTATTCTCCCTTGAAAATTGTTTTGATAGCACCTCGTTTGCTTATCCAGTGGACCTGATCATATCGTTGATTCGGAATTATCTTCAGGTTGAGGAAATTGCCAATTGCCAAGTGCCAATTGACAGTTAAATGTTGACTTATAATTCACTTGTCTATCGTTTTTTCATGCGCGTTTCTTATCATTCCTTTTTGTCTCACGGTTAAAAATGTTAAAGTAAACACTCAGTTGGAATATTAAATATTAGAATATTAACTCAGAAGGTTAATGTTCAGAAGAACCGTACACCGCACTTCTGATGTTTAAACTGTATTCTCGTTTTTTCGCTGTGTGCACTCACGATTTCGTCACTCAGAACACTTAAGATTTTTATGGCAAAAAGGAAGGAATTGTGATGTTTGCCCGGACGTAACAATATTACATAAGATTTATCACAAATGACTTACGCTTCAGTAACTCTTCGATATATTTCAAACGTATTTTTTCTGGGAAGATTTTCGGGGCCCTCGTTAACATTGATAAGTTTCACTCAAGTAATATAAATACATACATTAATAATACTGATAATGAGCAGCATTGTTGTTTTTTGAAGCAAAAAACAACAATGTTATCGCCATGTTTCTCGTTCCGAGAAACTCATTGACGCACGCTTAATTCCGGTTGCTCAGATTACGGGGTCTTGATTGGGAAGCCGTGTCTGTATGGCATGTATCCGGTGAATCCGACGAAAGAGAAATGGTCGATGACCTCACAAGGACACGTGAAAGTCGAAAATTACCCGATCTACAATCTGGATCAGTATTGCATGGATGTCTATTATAACAAATCGCACTACAATAGAGGCTTCTATTTGTTCATTTGTTTTGAAAAAGATGGACCAGTACAAAACATTAAAACGAGGTATATTAGTAATATCTATTATGCTATTTTCACCTTCGCCATGCAGTACTCCATTTGATAATTTTTTTCGCTCGCCAGATGCGTTTTTAATTGATAAATTCATCATTTTATGCGATAAATTTATTTATTTGACGATCTCAATCTGCTTCATCTTTTACAATGAAATTTAAAAAAATTTAATTTATATAAATTATATGATTAAAATGTATAATATTATATATATATATATATATATATATATATATATATATATATATATATATATGTATATATATATAAATATATTATAATTTGTCATACATATGTATATTGTAATTTAACAATTACGTATTTTTCTGTTCGATAAAATTATTTGAGTTGTGCTTCTAATTTGATAAGTTTATCAATTCATTTGATAAATCAATTTATTTTGATGACTAATTCATTTGATAGATTTATATATTTTAATGGTCGATTTATTTCATGAATTTGTTTATTTTTTATATCTTTGAGTTTCATTTTTTGCAATCAAATTTCGACAAATTTGATCGATATAAAATCTAACATTAAAGAGTGATGTATATTGTATTGTAGAGACTCGAGGCGTGTAGCGCCGGAGTATTGCGTAACTACACGGACAACATCTCGACTCCGGTCTGCCGCGAATTCTATCAAATTTGGCGAAACACGACCGGCTTTATTTGTGTTTAAACTTGGCCAAGTCAAACATACAAACAGCGCAGCCGGAGCATCGCGCGATAGATAGATAGATACTGCTCGGCACTCGGCAGCTGTAAATGTCTGAAATTCGCGTGCACGTGAATCAAGAGAAATATTTATATCGCTGTCTATCAATAAACGAAAGAAACGCGCGATGCTCGATCTTACTTATGCGTACCAAGAGGACTCATGCTAACTGTCATACATCATGCATCATAACACAATCAAATGCGAAACACGACAGAAAATCGTCGATTTCTGTGTAGCTACAAAGTGAACACCGTCCTGGAATTCACCAGCTGTACCTTCCTGCTGGTAACATTGTTGGTGTACGTGTGCCTACCGAACCTTCAGAATCTCCATGGTAAAACCCTCATGTGCCACGTAAGCAGTCTCTTCTTGGCGTTTACCTGTCTGGCCGTCATTCCGTGGATCACGCCCGGCGTGGCGTCCAACATCAAGGAGCCAAAGGTCACGGCAATCTGCAAGGCTCTGGGTGGGTGAGCGACACGCGACTCTATTCTAGCAAAAAAAAAACACATTTACGTATATGTGCGCCTTGGGAAAACGAGACCTATATTTCTAGGTTACACCATGCTTTTCTCCTTTTTGTCGGCGTTCTCCTGGCTCAACGTCATATGCTTCGACATATGGTGGACCTTCGGGTAAGTTAGTCACGATGACACGATCGAAGTGGGTGAGGTAATCGACGAGGCTGTATGATGGGGGAGATGGGGGTCTGTACTTCCGCAATCGACGAAATGGACTGAATGCGAAACAGTGTAATCATGTACCGATGATGATGATAAAGTCAACAATAACCTTTTAAGAATTACGTCCGGTTAATTCCGACGATGAACCCATGAATGAGCCTATCTTTTTTTCATAGCTTCGTAATATCATCCTATGATTGAAAGGTCGTTGTTGTCTTGCTTACTCGACGGAGGAGGAAGAGAAAGACAGGGGGAGTCTCGATTACCTCACTTGACCTTCCACACGATGCTTCATCATTATTGTCCGTTCCATTAACCCTCCTATTGTTTCGGACGCTCATAGGCGCTCCACGAATTTATCGTACGCTCTTCACGTGCTGCGGTAGTAAAAAGAAATATACAACGGTAAACATTAAACACCGAAATGACTCAACGCGTTTTATATAGCGCCAACGCGGCGCACGCGACGAAATTGCAAACGAGTGAACGGAAGAGAGAGAACTTTTAACTACAAGAAATCAGTTCTTTCTTCTTCGTCAATTATTTTTCAATTAATTTCACTCAACTAACGGTGGGCGTGCAAATAAAAATCACGAAATTTGAGAAGTCTGTTTCTTCAAAAATCACAATACTATAATGTTTACTTGATCTTAGAATGAGCTTGGAAAGTCCCGTCAAGGTTAACTTCAATTTTTTAAAGGGAATCATGTGTTTCTCTAACACAAATCAATTACTGTGATCATTATGCGTATAAAACTACTAAAATAAAATTAGTATTAAGGACAAAATAATACTAAAGATAAAACTATTACATAGTAAATTATTTTCTGAAGTATTTTTTATTTTATTCGGGTACTTTTCAGTACAAAAGATGTGAAATATTCGTAAAATATCTATTTCTCTCTCGATGATCTCTTTTTAATACTTCTGTACGTAGAATGAAATAGATTATTGTAAACAAAACAGAGAAACCTTAAGTAAAATTCCGTTGCATTATGCAAATTTATATTGATGCTAGAGAGGAAAGTGCAAAGATTAATATTACCGATCGGTTTTCTCAAAATTGTTCATTTTTTTTACGTAGAATCAATACATCATTTTCTCTTATATTTCAAGTTATCTATATTGAAAATAATAATTACGAAAAATTTTCTAAATTTGCCTTTTGTATACTCAAAAATATAGTATCTAGATAAATACATTTATCAAATATTTAAGAATATTTAAATAAAACTATATCAAAAAGCTATTGTATAAATACAATGTATCAATCTAAGCAGCGAAAAGCAAATATGCCGACGAAGGATTAATACTTACTTATTTAGGTGCACACTTGGAGTGCGTTCCGGGAGCTATTAGCGCTATTTAGCGCTACTGTACCATTCTATCCTTGTTATATGTCTAAAGAGCGATAAAGATAGAAGAACGCGGTAATGTTAGTGGCGTGCTCCCAGAACGCACCCTTGCTATACTCAAATGAAGTGAAATGCACCCGGTTGCAATGAGACAATGTCAATATTTTGTTAAGGCTATTAGACTGATGACGTCAGAAGCAAAGAAAACCATGCTCAAAATTCCTGCAAACCAGACCAAATTAAATAAAAAGATATATGAAATAAATTACTTTAAAATGACACTTGTAAACTGTTTGTGAACATTTCACGCTTGTGAAATGTCCTGAATATTCCTCTTTTGCCGAAATATTTGATTATATAACCGCAAAATAAATGTGACAAATCGTCTCATTTTGACAGAAAATCGAATATGATCAAATAACTAGCAGCAAATATTATATATAAGCAATATCCGGAGCATTTCCATATTTCCAATCACATGTGATATGCACGCACTACACTCAGTAATAACGTTGGGGTTTGCAGGAAAAAATTGGTCGTTTGCTTACATCATTAGGTCTGTTCATTTTCGATGAACTTTTGCACCAGTGCAGTAAGTTACAGGAAAACATGTATACTTTCTTTCACTTAAACTTATTGCAATAGTCTTCACTAGTGCAGAAGTTCTTCGGAAATGAACAGACTTATTTTCCCGCTTAATAGTTCATCATTTTGCCGTTTACAATCATGTCGTCAACGCGAAGTTCTCAGCTGACTAATCAGGAGCCTTAAAATTATATTTCAGTGGATTGTCTTGGCATTTGGATTTCGGATATTGTGGCTTTTTAGGAAATTGTCTTACTTTTTAAACTTTAGTACATTTTCTTCGGGACAATGTATGTCTAATGGCTAACTCTTCATCTCTCGCGCTTAGTATCTAGGATACTGATAAAGCTACCGGATATGAAGATTATTTACAGGCTTTCGCGAAGAGAAATCGTTCTTCGCGCGGATGCTTCGCGAGATGCAAGGAGTATCCAGATGGTTATGCGCGATCCAACGCGCCTTGTCCCACGTTCCTTGCCGGTTGCAGGCGTTTGTGTATTCAAGATGCTATTCTAGCTGGGGGCTCCGTAAATACACGCAGAAAATAGATCCATGTCAGCGAAGATGGTTATGTATCTCAATAGCCTCGGCGCCAGAGGATCTCTCAATCGAGAATTCCGCAATTTCTCCTCTTTACGTCTTCGCGTCGTCGTTGTCATCAAACGACGAATTACGTGGTATTCTCGCGTGTCGTTCTCAAAACCTTCTGTTCAGCTCCCTAATTGATGGCTTCTCTGAATTAGGGACAAACCCATTGAACAGCATCGGACAATTTAGTCCTTGTAACGCGACATGCAAACGTGTCGTACTATGTGCCGAGTCATTAGCTAATTTTCTTCGTCCATCGTCCAAATGACGGCGATACTGAGGCCGCTTAATTTAAGGACAACGCACATTACGGGTTTTCCCACTCGATCGCTCTTCTCATATGTTCAGTCTCCTCGATAAAGTAAGAGTGCTACATACATAGAGCCGCCTTCCCGACTATGTATCGTCATTTTTGTATTTTTTACTCTAATGAATAAAATAACGATAATGGATTATTTCTCTCTCGCAGAGGCTTACGTGGGGACACGATCACGAAGGGACGTAAACACAGACGAAGGTTCCTGCTGTACTGTTTGTATGCGTGGGGCTTTTCTCTCCTAGTGTCGATCTTGACTATCATCTTCGACTACACGGAGAGTCTGCCGATGTACTTGCGACCCAATGTCGGCTATACGAGCTGTTGGTTCACACGTGAGTCACCTGATCCGATAACTACTATTTGATAAGTGATAAGTAATTACTATTTGATAAGTAACTACTATTTGAGTAATGCAAATTTGTCAATTGCGAAGCTGCGGCGGGACCTTGAGACAGTATTCCTGGCTCGGTGACGTTGAATATTTCGTTTTCTCGTGCACTGTAATTGAAACGTAATTTTCTTTCTTCTGCAAGACGGAGCTCGTATCGAGCGAGTCGCAGTTGGAAAATTTGTTCGGCGCGGCAAAGTTTATCGTATTGAGGCATCGATTGAAGCGCAAACGTAGGGTCTCCTTTGATGGTGCCAATCGTCGTGTCGCAATTATCCGATAATTAAAAAGTTTCTCGAGTAGCCACATTGATCGAGCTCGAAGCGAATTCAAGCGTCATTACGCCTTGATATATAAAGAGCACTGAGATTAACTACTTACACAATAAGTATCGTTTGTATCGCCAAAGTAATGCGTTTGATAACGATCGAGAAATTCGTGATTAACTTTTCTCGCGACTCGAGACTAAGCTCAGGCTATGATTATCCAGATTACATCTCTTGTCAATAATGACATTACAATAACACAATCAGCAGATAATTTGTGATATGGAATTTCTGAGATGTTTTTTTATACATTTTAATGAATCTGAAAATGAACTGAAAATATCAATATCATAGTTTTGTTATGATAGTTAATATGATATGTCTGAAGTAATAATATGTATCTGAGGTTTAATAGTGGAGTTCAAATCTAGATAACCCTGGGAGTGTGTTGCTCACATACTTGCTTTAGTATTTATCTTGAAAGGAACAGTAGGTATAAAATCACAAAATTATTCTTATAGAACATAAATAATTTTTTCCTTGAATTTCATTAAAATTGGAATAATATTATAATTTAAAAATAGGAAAAACTAATTGAGTAGTAAAGTAAATTTTCGAGCCTCTCGAAATTTTATATTAATATTCTTTATCTTGTGAGTAAATAAAACAACGTGTTACTAGCTAGAATAAAGTTTCTTTTAATGTTTCCGATAATAAAAGTAATTTTTACCCACTCAGATAACTCATAGTTGTCTGAGAAATTGACTTCAAAACTCTGAAATATGAGATATCTAGTCTCGGTCTTTCCTATATTGTATATAAAACGTTCTATGCAATTTATACAATTCGATTTAATGGAGGTGTTATTAATATTAAGTATTTTCCATAAAAATTTGCTTCATTTGAGCAATATATTCGCTCATAAAAATTTATTAAGATTAAAGATTTTTCTCTTTCTACGTGATTTTTCTTTAATTAGGCATAAAATACAATAAAAATTTGCAATGATGTTAATATACAACGTTAAAAGCTACTATAAATCATTATATATTATTGAACGTCATCGCAATAACGTTCTATCGATAACTTCTTGCTCATCGTGTTGTTTTATTTCAACGATAAACGAAGACCACGAAGAGTAAAGAATCACTTGACCGGGAGAGATTTACCGACGATGAGACACAATAGAACGACGTGATCTCGATTACAAATGATTCTCTTCACGTTGATGCATTTCTTATGTTACTCAATCGCAACGACGCTACAGAACTTCCGGGCTTATACGGCGAGATGACTTTCTTCGTCGGTCCGGTGACGATCCAGCTGATATCCAACGTGGTGTTCTTCGTCCTCACATCGATGCACTGCAATCAGGTGAAAGCGGAAATAAAAAGAGTCACCTCGGATCCTGCGGATCCCCGGAGCAAACGGTTTCATTCTGACCGCAACAGGTACGTCAATTTGTCTCATTAGTTATTTTCGTCAAGCCGGTAGGAGCAAAGACTCACTTTTCGCTCTCGACGGAGAGTAATTATAAACCAAAGGAGACATTTCACTTATTAATCGGCGATCGATGAGTGTGTCTGCCTTCAAGATACGCCCCGGTAGTCACAAAACTTCGATATCTGTTTTATCATTGACACGAGAAACTCTGATTTCTCAAAGCCACTTATATAATATGCGCAAAAACTCACTTACTATTCGCTGTATGATAAACTTTCTGCGTCAACTTAATAATTTATAAAAGAGCTTTCCTCATCTATCCTCCACTTTGTCGCCGCAGATTCATCATGAACATTAAACTGTTCATCATCATGGGCATGTCCTGGATTTGCGAGGTGGTGTCGTTCTTCCTGAAGAGATACAATGTCGAGTGGCAAGACGCGATTTTCTACGTCAGCGACGTCTTCAACTGCCTTCAAGGCTTGTTGATCTTCATTCTCTTCGTCCTGAAGAGTCGCGTCTATCTGGCGCTACGCAGACGACTGGGCCTGGATGTCGGGAAGAAACGGGCGTGCAACAACACGACCACCCTGCAGGATCCTTATCGTGTGAGGAAAAGCGTGAGCAACAGCACGATAATGTCCACGTTCGCGGTTAGTTCGGCGCCGTGAAATGGCGCCACGATCGATTCTGCTTAGCACAAATAATTCATGTCTACGACTTCTTCTCGCCGTCTTGCTTTCTCTTCCTGTCTACTCGAATCACTCGTCTGGTGCGGTTAACGCGTCCTCGCCGCGGTCGGAACAGTTGACTCTTGCACGACCGATATTTTGCAATTTGTTGTTGCTAATGAGAATAATGGGAATCCGCACTGCAATTGACACACGAATTGCAACAGGCTGATGAACGCGAGCTGTCCAACAGACAACAATGTTGCAAACAAAACCTGCCGCTTTTCTGTCAGCGAGGTGATTTCATTATCCTCTCTTGGCGGTCTGAATGTTAATAACTGGCACCATGAGAGTAATTGCGTTCGATTCGACAGTCCGGCGCCGTATGAATAGCGATATAAATAGCGCTTGGCGGGGATACCGCGTTGAGATGCCATTGTATAAAGTTTCCTTTTGTATTAATGCATATTGTGACGACGTGCTTCACTCGCACTCGGCCTGCTATCTTGACGGCCGAAAAGCATCCGTTAGGGAGAATTCACACTTTGGTAGAAAGGCAGAAAGGCAAAAGCCAATCAGAATTCGCGCTGATGGTCAGATGATGGTCGACAGTTTCTGCTTTTCTCGAGCAGCGCGAGTTTCTGATCTTCTGACTTTCTGTTTTTTACCAAGATGTGAATTCTCCCTTAGATGGGAAAGTGCGATTCTGTGAATAGCACGGATGTTGATCTTTTTTTTCTCAAACACTAATTCCACCCGCGTTGCAACGCAAATTGCAATGTTACTAAGAATACCAAAGAAGACTTGTAACCTTTCGACTTTTTCCCCGCACTACATTGCGTCACTGTATATTGCGGAAGACGTCTCATCGACAAAAATTGCTAGAGATTATTTTTATACGTGCCGCAACACGTTGGTGACATATTTAGTGTAGATATGACGTCGAACTAGAGCGAGTATATACAAGACATGTATGCGTATAAAAATCTCATTGCCGAATGATAATATTTCTGATGTATCTTTGTACTTCACTGTGTTAAAAAAAAGAAAAGAAAGTACTTTGACACGATTAATGTCAAAAGAAACACGCAACTCTGAGCAATTCTGCATCGAAATGTACTTTTATATGTGATGCGCTTTTTCTAAATTATTTAGAAAAGTTATTAGTTATTTTCAGAATAAATCATTTTTCAACTTTTTTCGCAAATCCGTACGTAAATAAAAATATAATCGACAAGAAATACATTAAGTAAATAGATAATCACAGTCGCGCAGTTCATCTGCAAGTATAATATATTTCCTAACTTTTTACTCTCTTTATCCGTCTGGTATAATGGCGATTGGTTACTCTCTCCATCAAAATCAACAGGAAGAATTAAATGAACGCTGGAGACGCGGCGAGTTAGCAAAAAATTGCCTTTATTTTCACCGTATATTCAAATGGAGTCTAACAGTAAAATTCTGGCATCTTCTCGCAACAATATATTTGTTTGCGACGGAGGCAGATCGATTGCAGCTCGCGCCGCTGTTTTCGCACCGGAACCGTTGAAAATAAATTTTTTATTATGCCACTTCAAGAAAATCGTGCCCTGGTTCATCTCTTCCCCTCATGAAGACTCGCCTTCATAGAAGAAAATGGAAATGTGCACGGCATAATTTCGTGGCCGGCGATTCTGGCGTCTTGCCTTGCACCCGTCGTTCATTCATCGCCCATACAAACGTCTCTTTTAAAGTCGTAAAGTCTGTTATAACAGGGCCACACAGTGCGGCACAGACGATCGACGTTGATCGATCAGTTTCCAAAACCGGGGCGCGCCTAATGAATAACATTAACGGTGAGCCACCACGCGATCGTTTGCGTGCTCGTTACAGAAATGTCTTTACACGTCAGGTGACGAAATGCTTGTCCAATGCTCTCTCTCCCGCCGGAATAAACAATAACTCGTCTCGAGGAAAGCTAATGTGGAATTTGATCGGTAGGAAAACATTACGTGTTAACACTTGAATATTCCTTTCAGAATTCTCTCTTCTTTCTTGCTTTTTTTCGTCTTTTCAGAAACATGAATTACCAGATTAGTATCGCTAACGAAACAAAAATTAAAACACTGTATACGTGCGTAGTAAGACTCCCGTACCCAGTAAACACAGATATTACTATAATTGTTTTTGAAACATTAAAATATTATTATAATACTTCTTAAATATTTTTAACAATGTCAAAAACAATATAATACTGTTTTTCTAGTAATTTTAACATTAAAATGTTATTATGATATCGATAATATTACATATATACATAACAGTAACATTGCATATATACATTACTAAAAAATATGGATCAAGGAAGATTGATAGAAATATATAACAATTTTTCATTGAAATATATATTATATATGATTTTATCTGAATTTGCATTTCTATCAGAAATTTCTCATATTTTAGCTTATGTGAAAAAATTACCAACTTTTCTCATTTTATTCTGTAATTCACTTTTAACAATTAAATATTTATCCGAATACACAATTATTTTTACACAATTTTTTGCCCAAAACATAATTCGGTTATTTTCCTTATGTAATTCTATAAAATCATTTATGTAGGGATCAATGATTTCTTAATCGCTTATTCTACGCACATTCACTCTCATGCACGCCATCTGCAACCAAGTCCCAATGATTTCTTAATCAACAATGTAACTGTTATGTACACGGAAAAAAAAGTGTTGAATTAATGGAAATGATCAACAGCGTCGTGGTTAGAATAAATCCTCTTGATTCAATAGCAGTGTTATTGAAACTAATACTCGAGTTATTGAAACATCATGCATTAGTTCACAAATGTATTAAGCGACTTTTTTGAAAGCAGACAACCATGATCTACGTTTCTTATTAACAAATTAGAAAAATGCTTCTCCCGAAAAGTCCACTCAACATATTTGTGAACTAGAGAGTATCGATAATTTTGAGGATCTATAAGAATCATACAGGCCACGTTTTGCAGTCACGGAGAGCGAAGCGTCGTCGATAGAGTTGCTGTTCAACCCTGCCAAATATGCGATCCTACATGTCGGTGCAGGGCGAGAGTCCTACCGACGAACTTCGTCAAAAAGCTCACCTAACACATAAGTGAAGTAATGCGTCGCACTGTTTTAACTCAACTATTAGTTTCAATAATGTTGCTATTGAATCAAGAAGATTTATTCCAATCGCGATGCGCTGTTGGCCAATTCAATCAACGGATTGATTGATTCTTTCTCCGCATATAACATACGTTATATTACACTTACATAGCTAAGTGGGAGATTACAGCACTGATGCAATGTTAGTTCGTGTTCACTGGGTATCCTCGCTAATAGATCTCGTGCGTGAAGAACAGTGGTCAGAAACGGAGAAACGTTATCGTAAATAAATCCATTGAAAGTCGTGATCAGGAATAACAAGAGCGTATCCACTTTCCGCTCGGGCCTGTCTCGGTGGAGACGCCTCCTGCGGAAACATCGTCATGAGTACTCCATTTTCGACCATGGACACCTGGATATCGATTGAGCAGCTGTCAATAATCGCAACGTTGCTTTCTACAACTATCGATACACATGGGGACTGTCAATAGTCGCTGCACTGGTCATTTAACACTTTGCTAACTATCGTGCGTAGACGTGCAGCTTATGAGTTCAGTCACGTCACAAGCGATCGCGGAGTAACGAAGGCACTTTCGGACGTTTTTTGGCTGCTTCCTGAGAGCGCGCGAACGAGAGGTCTTATCTATAAGGGCTGTTCAGTTTGAGATTGCACACGGATCATGTGTAACTGTCAAGGTTTCCGCTCGTTTGCCGTCTCTTCGAGATCCGGATCCTCGTTGATGATCGAGATGTCGCGAATCGACGGTCTGCGCGTTTTCCAGGCCTCTGGCAGCACCACCGGCGTGGCAGTCTTCGTCAAAAGTTTCGGCCCTGAGAGCGAGATGATGATGGCGCCGGCTGGCGCGGTTAAGAGTATCGAAAGCACGCACAACGTCAACACCGTCTCGGCGTACTCGACCTGCTGCTGATCGTCCTTGTTGACCTCGTCGAGGGTGCTAGGTCCTAAGGCTGCCTGCACGGTCGCCTTGGCCATCCACGACAGCGCGATGAACACCTTCTCCTTGAGATTGAGATTCGAGCCAATCCCGACCAGCACTGTGATGGCAATCCGGATGACGATGCCGGCGATCAGGCAACTCAGCCCGAGATACACGGTCTTGCCTTCGAGCTCGTTGATCTTGATCTGCGTGCCGGTGATGCCGAACAGGATCGGCTCGAATATCATCCAGAAGATCTCGAAAGACGTGGCTACCGGGTTCTGCAACGGGAGGAAAAGTCATCACGATCGGAAGTTCAAGTCGATATGTTACGGATATTGACAAAATGTTCACTAACGGACTAGTAATGCCATGATTGCTCTTGAATTTTTATATCAAATATTATATCAGTCTAAATACAATACATAAAAATGATAAATAATAAATAAAAATGAATAATAAGAAATAATAGTGAATAATAAATGAAAAATAATAAATAAAATAAATTAAAATGAAATACAAAATGTGTAACACAATAGTTTTTTCAATCAAATAACAGTCCCACGAAACAAAACTTAAAATATAACCAAATAATATATTATTTGATTTAAAATTAAATTTTACTTTCTTTAAATAATAACATCTTTTCCATCAAGCCACATACATAGTTTAGTCTGTTATCAAAATTATATTTGACATAAAATATGTTGTTTGAGTTCAACAAATCCAAGTCGAAAGAATAGGAATAATAAATCCAAAGAAATCGTTCTCTCTGTGTAAATCGTTTTACCTTAAGCCTTAATATGTAAGGAACGATCGTAATCATTTTCGGCATTAGAATATGTTAATAATCTGTATTATAATCTTTATATTTAGAGATTCTTCATCCCCTCCCTTCAAGTTTGACGGAATTTGCAGGATTGTTGTAGAAGCGAAATTTCGACTCGACAAGTCTTGTGAATAGCATCCGGATAACGAAATCCCGCTTCTCGTTTGTATTTTCACTTTTTTTTTATTTTTTTCGAAGCTCGTTATCTCTTTCACTTCTTACTTCCGCGAGACCTGTTTTTTTCCCTCGGACGAGATATCGCGCGCGCGCACGCGGGTGTTAATTTCGCGAGAATTTAATTCGACGTGTAACGCGCTGAGAATATTAAAAAGCTATCGGAACTGTGTATAATGAAGGCCAGTAAAAATTTCCTCTAAAGGAGGATCGATTCGGAATTCGGCGATGATATCGTGCCGCATTGTCCATGCGCTCGATATCGGGATATGGAAATCTTCCAACGTTGCATGGAAATGCGGAATATCCAGAGTTCACGCTGTGCAAGCTCGTATTTATCGCTATTGTTTACACACGCTCGCGGTGCGTAGGAAATCTCCGTCGGGGTATTGATTCATTTAATTTAATTCCGCGCAATATATTTCCGGATAATGCTGACGTGCAAGTATAGCGGTCTCATGCAAGAAAACCACGATACACGTTAATACACGTTCCTATCGTATGGCTTTTCCTTTCTTCCCTTTTTTAATACTCCAAGTTTGCGTCAATTGCATAGGGTGTTTCAGAATTATAAATAAAGTGACTAGTGACCAAAAAGTCTTAATCTATTAACAGCCAGTATTCCACTTGTGTGTGTGCGTGTGCGTGTGTGTGTGTGTGTGTGTGTGTGTGTGTGTGTGTGTGATGCTTCTCTTTTTATTAAATAAAATCAATTCATTGATTCTCGTGGATCGCAATATCTGCCAGTTCTCAACTACAATGTGGCGCTATCAAGAAACTATACATATAGGAGACAAAGTTTTGTCTCCCATTTTGACGTACTCAGCAAATACAAACTATCAGTAACATAAAATCAATATTATAATTTCCCACTCAACAATGTAAATGCAATATAACATGTGTATTATATAACAGTTACATTGTTGAGAATTATAACACTAATGCAATGTTACGGTTAGTTGGTGTTTACTCAGTAGTTAATTAAATTATGGTTTTGCACAGTGGCTCTCCGTGATCAGAAGGATTTATTTATGAGCATTCAAAAGATTAGTTTAATAAACTAACAGTTTAATTAAAATATAGTAGTATCTGAAGGAAATATGCAACCATTGGCGTGACGTTTCTAATGTAACCGGCGGAGAGTTAAAAAATATGATTTTTATGTTTTCAGCATTTAATTCCCAATTATATTTAAAAATAGTTTTAATACATTAATCTGAGGCTTCTAGGATATAAATGATCTTTTTATTAGAAAAATTTTTGACTTAACTACGGTCTTTAAATGGGTTAATATTGATTTGTCAATTAATCGTTTTCGAGTCAATGATTTTTTGATTTCGCAAACTACGCTTTGATTATTTCTTTACTTCAATCCACAGACAATATCGATTTCGTTATTGTCACAGTAGAACGAACAGGTAAAAGAATCTAGGTAGTTTCGTTACAATTGAGAGAAAGTGCGCGGTGTAAGGAGTTTCTCGAGTTAAATCTATCACGCCGTTTTGCTGCAGTCGCGTCCTACGGAATAAAATGAGCGGCACGGACGCGAGCGCGCTAAAGAGATTGCTTTTTGTTTCACAAATCTACGTTAATCCGAGTTACGAACCCTTTACGTCCATTTCTACCAACTTTAGTTAATTTACGCGGTTGGCCATTCTATCGGAATTGACCAGTCGTATTTGTCAATTCTAATTAACGACAAATGCGATTAGTCAATTCTGATGGAAAAACCAGTTAAGTTAATCAAAATTAGTAGAAAAATGCATTGAAGATTCAAACAAATAAAATAAAATTGTACATAATAAGTAACATATCTAATACATAAAACATAGTCGTACAATGTATAAAAATACATTACCTACAAATTTTCTAATACAAATACACTAATTACAAATAAAAAATAATAATTACAAATAAAATTATAAATAATAATTACAAATAAAATTATAAATAATAATTACAAATAAAAAATAATAATTACAAATAAAATTATAAATAATAATTACAAATAAAATTATAAATAATAATTACAAATAAAAAATAATAATTACAAATAAAATTATAAATAATAATTACAAATAAAATTATAAATAATAATTACAAATAAAAAATAATAATTACAAATAAAATTATAAATAATAATTACAAATAAAAATTAATAACGCTAAACTTAACTCTTATTTAATATTATATCAATAACATAATTTAACAATTCGTAGAAGAAACGCAGGAAGACTGTGTCGGACAAAGATGGTATTTTTCGCGTATGTGCGCAAAGCCCCATTTGGACACAGCGCGACATAGCGAAACGTAGACAAGTGCAAAGCTAAGCCGCGACACTCGCGGCGCAAAATCAAACAATGCGTCCTTTATGATCTCGCGCTTTGTAAACACAGAAGGAAAAACAACAATATAGTTCGAGCTTTCCTTTCATGGACGCTCAACCGAATAATCACGTCTGAAGGGGAATGGCGCGCGCGGAAAGGGAAACGTTCCCCCCGATGCCGCAAGTTGCATTCCAGAATTCATGTTTCCAGAAGATTCCACCGTCTGGAGTATACTCTGAGTGAACGTTTTGCCCTCAGTACCCTACAATAACTTATCCAAAATTTTCAAAATAATTCTTGTATTCTCGAAAATCAGTCTTCGAAAATCAGTGTCGAGCGTGCGTATTTCGTCGAGTGCATTCGGTGAATACGAAGTCTGGAAGGTAATTTGCGGGGTTTGGGGGTAACTTTCCTTCTTTTACTTACCATTGTCTTTCAATCGTGATCATTGGGTGTCAATGAGAGAAAATCTCGAACTATATTGATGCTTTTTTTTCTGTGTTTACAAAGCGAGAGGTCAAAGGACGCATTATTTAATTTCGCGACACAATTGTTGCAGCTTTGGGCACTTGCTTAGCCTCGCGCTTTGTAAACACAGAAGAAGAAACATCAATTCTTAATTTCCAATGGACGGATGCAGCAGGACTTGTGCATGCGCAAAGAATACCATCGTCTGTCTCGATATAGTATTTCCACGTTTTTTCCGCGAGTGGTTAGGCTAAATTATTTATATACTATATATTTATATACTTTAAGTAAGAATTTAGTTAAATTTATTAACGTATTTTTTATTGTATTCGTATTGTATTGAAAAATTTGTGTTAATATATAATGTATTTTTATATATTGTACAATTTAAATATGATCTTTATTATGTACAATTTTATCGTTAGAATGCTGATGAGATTTCCTGCGGTTTTCGTTATCCTGGCAACAAATATTGGTATTCGTGTGATAAATCGACTGCAGATGTTACAAGCCTTCCAATAAGAATGTTCAGTCACAAACTCACTTACAATAGGAGCTCACCAATAGGAATGCTCAATCTATTCTATATGTCTATAGTTACAACGCGGTATTGCTTCTACTCACAAGTAGCGTAACCTAGCAGATGCCATTGTGGCATTTAAGTAGTGCTCATGCATGAGATCGAGAACACGATGTAGCTCAAGATGATCGTCGATATCTTCGCTTTTAAGGCTCATAGTGAAGTGAAACAAAATCCGTCAGAAAGCTGAGACTCGAGCTCTTCTGACAAGCGTACGCTCGTTTCTCTTTGTAGATAGAATTAATTAGCCACGTTATATTATCCTGATAGGAGACATTGATTGTCTTAACGTTGAAATAAAAATTAATATATAATGGAAACTGAAAAACTTCAACTTATATCAGTAACATTTTTAATGGAAACAAAGTGCAATTGGAACAAAAAGAATGATAATGTAAGCTACTTGTCGATTGTGACATTTCTGAAAATTAATTTTATTAGTGTAGTTTGGTAAATTTGTACGAAATGAGTCGTACACGTCACTGTTCTCTCCTTTTTTACTCTCGGCATAATTTATCTTAATTTAATTACTACGGAACGATTACATGACGCGTTGACACACTCTGATGCTCTTTGAACGAAATGAGATATTCTTAAGTTGTTGCATAATTTCTGTCGTATTTTTGCATAAAATGAAGATTGATATAAATTTGAAATTTTTGTTTAATTAATAACATATTGATCATTGTTACCTATAACTATGACAGTGCTATTAGTTTGACTTTATCCTCTTTGACCATACGTCCCCTTGAAATCCTAAAACTTTTACTTAAGACTTTATGTGTATATTTTTATGTGTTTATTTTACTTTATGTGTACGACATTAAGTTTATGTGATATATACTAAATAAAAAAATTGAATATGTCGAAAACGATTAATATCTTTGTTCATTACGACACTTTTACTTACACATACTACTACTTACACATACTATCAATCTTCATTTTATGCAAAAATACGACAGAAATTATGCAACAACTTAAGAATATCTCATTTCGTTCAAAGAGCATCAGAGTGTGTCAACGCGTCATGTAATCGTTCCGTAGTAATTAAATTAAGATAAATTATGCCGAGAGTAAAAAAGGAGAGAACAGTGACGTGTACGACTCATTTCGTACAAATTTACCAAACTACACTAATAAAGTAACTACACTTACTCATTACTTACACTTTTCGTGTTTCCATGAATTTTACTTGACACAACTAACTTTCTTTATAATTCTGAAGCGCCTTGTACAAGTATATGATATAATATATAGATTAAATTAGATCTGAAATTATTATTTTAAAAAATAAAAAAGAGCATTAGAGTGCGTCAACGCGTCGTTTAATCGTAGTAATTAAATTGAGATCAATTATGTCGAGAGTAAAAAAAGAGGAGAGAACAGTGGCGTGTACGACGCCGATGTCATGCGGTAGTAATATTGACAGATGCCGGGCTACAGTCACGTCACGAAACGTGCGAAAGAACGTGTCACCATCGGCGACGCGGGTATGCGAGAGGCGACACGGAAATAGGAACGAGCCAGTTGACTCCCAATCCACACCCCGGATGGCAGCGATACGTCGGCCTGAATATTTCACGAGATTCAAGTTATTGGGGCAGGAAAGCGAAGCGACGCGACATCTCTTGCCGTCGCCTCGTCGATATCTTTCTCTCCTCCCTCTTGCCGATAAAATATTTAATAACTTCTATTTAGATCAAAATTAGGATAATTAAGAGGCCTCAATAGCACCGCGTTATACCGCCATCTGTTATCCCGAATTACGGCGTCTCACCCGAGCGATTCTCATTCTCATCCCTTTCAGGTTTACCAAGCCCGTCGAGGTTTACGAAAACAGTACGCTAACTTAAGATCAGCGCGAACTATTAGTGCATTACTGCTATGTTATCATCGTAGATCAAGGCGGAGGAATAATCGGAGCGTAGCTTGCGAGATTCAAAGATCATTGCCTTAAAAACGATTAATTGGCAGATCTATGTTAACCCATTAACATAGATCATAATTAAATAGCAAAAATTTTTTTTAGAGCATCGGTTTATATTTATTTCTTATAAAGGTGACTTATAAAAATTTATATTAGAATTATGTTTAAATATAAAATTGGGAATTTTAAATACTGCATAAAAATACTAAAAAAGTACAGTCATATATTAAGGAAGTTATAAGGCTTAGTGTCATATTTTCAATATGGCACATCAAGAAACCACTCATAAACTTACTATTTGTCGAACAAAATTATGTTTTATACATTTACTTCATTATTTAAGTAATAAATGTTCTAAGACAAAATTGAGGGGGATACAATATATCGTAAAAAAATAATTTCTTTACTTTGCTCACTAATGCTTTATTTGTGCATTAGTTGATCTAATAAAGATCCACAGGTAGTAGAAAGAGATATATAAGTGTTAAAATATGTCTACACATATATGCATATGTATATATATCTCGAGTATTAATATAAATTATATTTAATGAATTTTCCACTGTTGTATTTTTCAAACAAAACGGATAATAATTTTGTGTATAATGTTAATTTTGTTCTAGTTGCAGTTAGATAAGATTCCAATTTTTGTAATGCAAGTTTCAATTCTTCATAAAATCATTTTGCCTTATAGCCTCTTTAATCAAGTGATTTTATTTGATAAAAAAGGGACATCTCACACATTTAGTAATTTGACAGTACATTGCAAGATGTGCTTCGAAGAATTCTTTAATTTAATTCATTATTTATTTATCTCTTTCGTTTTATATTCAGTTTTACTTATACGTCGCGGGATTGCGGATTTTCGATCGGAGATTTATTTTCGCGTGGGATTAAGCAGAATTGCAATACTCACATCGTCCACCTCCCAGCCTTCCTGCTGCCAAAAGTAGCAGCTGACAAAAGCTGCAGCCACGACCGCGAGTGGCCCAGCACCACCGAGCTCAATTGCTTCGCTGCCGAAGACCGCCAACAACCCACCCCCGAGTAACATCAGCACTCTCAGTGGCACCATGAAGGGCTGCAACATTAGCACGTAAACGAAGCGTTAGGCTACAATGGAAAGTGCCATGTCATGATTACAAAGTGATTTATCGATCTCATTATTAAGTTTCCTAATACAGACTTCGCTGATATATATACGGTAAATGGTAAACTTGCGCAAAAACAGTAGAGAGAACTTTATCTCGGCCCTGTGAAAGTGCACTATAAAAAAAAAATCGATCAAAACAATTCGGATCCAGTTAAACAAACTCAATTTCAGGGTTACAACAACGAATTAACTACCTTAATTCTTTCAGTAAAATTTTAGTGTGTGTGTATTTTCTTAATTTCTTATTTGTGTAAAACAAGTTTAAAATGTAGTTCAATAAGTAAATGTTCAATAAGTAAATGTAGTTCAATTTCAGCTTTATAAAACTAATCCAACGCAATCGCGCATTTATCATTATCATTTATTTAAGGTGATTTCAAAGTAGATGACAAATTAAAAAAATGCCGATAACGAAGAGGCGACTGTCCCTAACACTGTCACACTACCTTTTTCATATTTCTTGTATATTGTATTGATCTAATATTGATTTTGTACTGATTTAGTAATAGCAAAGTAAGCGACAAGTTAGTAGCTAAAATGAAGTTTCTTGCAAGCGTGTGATATACTGTTTTAAATAATAAAAGCAATTTTCTTTCATAAAGTGATTGAAATCGAGCATATGAGCGGACAAGATGAAGTTACCCCATAATTAAAGAGTAGCAGGAGGGTTGCAGAGACCTCTCACAGAGACCCCGTAACTACTAATCAGCATACATATTTTACATGTGGCCTTTTTACTTTGCGCTACTGCGCAACTGAACGCAGTACCAAAATAATAGGGCCACGTTGTTGCATGTTTGTATTTTGGTTATTATAAAACACAGAATATACGGCTAAAAGGATCGTGACACTTAACAAATAGAAGAACGCTGTTATGTTTGTACACAACAATTAGTTGTCTGAGAAGTTGTAACCTCGAAATTCTAAAATATGCATCATCTAACCCTGGTCTCCTCTTAACTTTCTAAAAAAGACATAAATGTTCTAGAAAAAAATTAGTATTTTGTCATTAAAGCCTTCAAGTATTTCCTTAATTTCTTAAAGAATATAATTATTCGCATTGCGTAACTAGAAAAATCTTTTGCTAATTGTAAGATTAATTGAAATTGACTGAATGAGTGATAGAGAAATATTTTGCTAATTGTGAGGTGAAACGAATATACGTTCTATATGACAATTATATTTCAGTTTCGTCTTACCATTACACCTTTTGCTACTAACAAGGTTAAATTTTGTAGTTAAAATTTTTACGACAATATTGGCTTTTACGTTAGACTGTCGATTTGCCTCGAGTTTTATTCAATTTAACTTGATTGCAGGTTGTGTAACGAAATTTGCGCAATTCTGGAACTTGGTTCTTTTTACACGATTCTTTTTTTCAGTGTACTTTTCACTATATAAGAAGTATTATTGTGTTTGGTACTTTAAGAGAGAATTTTCTTAGAAGAATCTCATAAGAATTGGTAATCAAGAAAATCAAAGTATCTAGTTTTTCGTATATATACGTATGTATGGGTATGTATATTCTGAGTTAAAAAAAAAGTAAATGCTCTCTCTCTCTCTCTCTCTCTCTTCTTTTCTGCAAAGTAATACGAACTTGGTAAGCGACGATAAAGTACAAAGGACTCTTCCGAACAGTAAAGTGCCATTTTTAAAGGAGTTCCTTGAAAAATACCATCCCTTGACCCGGTGCACGCCGCAGCAGTCTCTCTGTATGTAGCGGCGCCCTACCACACAGTTAAGTTTATCCGGATCGTCAAATTAGGTTACGGCAGGCTAAGGATACTGCAACCGCCGCTGCGCAACGGCGCCTAATCCTTACGTGAACGATGGTTTAGATACTGATACGGACACGGTAACCAAGTACTCGTCGACTCTTTCATCAGAACCTGCGCGTAAACATTTAATTCGTCTAAATCGACGCTTCTGGAGAGCTCTCGCAAAGCTCCTTGGGGATGAGAGAAAAAAGGTCCGCATACTAAATTGAATTGAATTTCAGGTCTTTCACGATCGATAAAAGACCCAAACAGACAGGTATACATAAATTTAGCATCACTCGATAAAAGTTGCATCCTTTACGACTGGTCCATATAATACACTGACAAAAAATAGTAGACAATTTATATTAATACTTGTAGAATATATAGTTTATTCATAAAAGTAAGCTTTATTTCATGCAAATAAATTTTATTTCACAAAAGTAAACTTTATATCCCAAATAAATTTCCAAGTATTTTTCTCTCAATGTGTTCTCGTATTTATCACATAGAATAATGAAATAAAAATACGAAGAAAATACGAAAAAAAATGATCGACATTTACTCAAAACAATGTGTCATGCGTATTTTAATTTAAAAATCCGAGTGTGCCTTTCAATAAATTTGTCGCTGCACAGAGAAAACGGTGTTTCTTTGGATCCAATAAATTTTATTAAATTCCTTTTATTAAAAATGTTTATTAAAAATGTTTATAAATTTTATTAAAAATGTAGTTTACAATACATTAAACTTTGATTCAATAAATTAATTAAAATTGTAATTGATTAAAAAAAAAAAAGATTGGCTTTTCAAATGATTTTATTGTTTGACCCAAATCATTTGGTTCAAAGAAGAAAATTGCTTTATTTAATTTTCTCATTTTATTATAGAATATTGATACTTTTGTTTAAACAATCTTAAGAAATTTGAAATTTCCTTTTTCGCATTACGTTTGCCTATTTATCTCATCACGCGCGTGCGTTCTCTTTTCCCCAAGATTTTCTTTTACTGCAAATATTCCATTATTCTGTCTTGCGGTCATCCACCCTTTTTACTGATCACAATTTAGGTTTGCTTGAATAATTATATAGAAATAACTATATAGAATAATTATATAGAATAATTATATAGAATAATTATATAGAAATAATTATATAAAAATAATACTTCAATAATTATATAGAAATTGTGATGCATAAATATAACATAATTTACATTATTATATATGTTATGAATTTAATAATTAAATCAATATAGTATATATTTCTGCTTTATAAATACAATTTAACAAGCTGAAAAGCTTCTATCACTGTCACACGTTGTGGTGATCATGCCGTAAAGCCGTTACTGGAAAAGCGGCTTGATATGCGATGATTTGTATCGCACGAGTACAAATTTATTTGTGTCGACACGACAAGCGCGATCGCAACGTCAAATACGAGACACCGTGCTCGAGAAGATTCCCGCGGTTGTTTTTTTAATCGCGTCATCTCTTCCCAAGTGAGAGAGAGATTCGGCGAAAGCTGAAGCGACTTTAAGGCGCTTCCCGCTTGAAACTGAATCGAAGACGCGATCTATTTATGTGCGACGCCCACGTTAATTATAAACACTCTTCTCAATTTTTATATTAAACATGTACGCGCGCCTATCAATATCCATAAATATCGAATAAGCCCGATAGAAGCAAATGTCATATTTGCGGATAAAAAATAAGAACAATGTAACGGAATATCTAATTGACATTCTTATGTTTTGAGAACGTTTACTCAAATTTTCAATTAATTGTAATAATTTTGTAGCAAACGTGCAGAACATTTTTAAACATATACCATGTCGGTCATAGTTTCTGTATGTTGTAAGATTACAAAATTTTGTTGCAATTTTTACTACAATATTTTCTCTCTGTGTACTTGTCGGTTCTCTGTTATTTTCCTCTTTTTCCGATCGTTTGCACATTTTCCCGAGCTCCTTGTTGTTCTCTTCGAAACTAATAATTTCCAACGGGCTTGAACACGTGAAAGCATCGCGAGGGGAGAGAAAAGGGAAACAGGAAAATCTCGTCGGAGTCGGAGAACTCCTGGCGGGACGAAAATGCGCGCCATTACGGTGGACGGTTTGTGGATTCAGCGAGCCGGCAATGTGCAATTCATAAAGTGTTTACAAGATTTTCACGGCCAAACGATAGCCACGTAAGTGGATTTATCCGGCGATAGTGGATTTATTCTCGGATTTGCGCGTGTGTTCCATCCTCGCGAGTGCTCTCGCGGTATGCAGGGGAATCCACTGCGGGCGCGAGGGAGATACATCACGGCGCGTCGCGTTGGGGTGAACGACTCCCTGCCAGCTGACCCTGTTTCCGCCGTTACCCTTTATTCCTAGTATTTCGAGCTGATATCGTTGACTTTACGTGATTTCACGCGGCTGAACGCTTGGCGCGTAGCGTGTAGCGAACATAATGCAAAATGTTAATTTTATATTTGCTCAGCCGCGCGACCTCGAAGACGGCAGGACGCGCATGTTTGGAATTTTTCGAGAAGGCGCGATACTTTCGTATCTTGGTCGATATTCCGTATCTTTTGCCCGTATTTTAAAACTTGGACGATCACGGGCAATTTCGGAAGCAGCGGAAGGACATACGTGCCGCTATGTTATGTATAATCCGAACTTGCAATGTTTTTTCTCGAAAACACGTTTTTGCCGAGCGATCACGCGCGGTGTAACTTGTGCACGAGAGCTATCAGGATCGCAACTCGAAGAGAGCGTTCAAAACACGTTCCCTATCGCGCGAACTAATGGACTACGAGAGAGATCAACAGTTCTTCCTCTTCGAAAGTTCATTCGTTATTTCGATATACGGGATACAATCCAGATATTAGAATGTGCTATTAAAATATCGCATGAGAATTTTGAGTCACTCTGTATAAGAGAAATATAACGAACGTACTTACTGCTGTTGATGTTGTCAAACTAACTGTGCGTAAAAGGTCGCGCGACTTTGTACGCTCATGGCTGAGGTATCGCAGTATCATAACAGTCCCAGACGCGATTGAGTAAGACGACATCGCGCGTCATACTCTTCATTGAATCGACCTAATTCACATTACACAAATTTGCGGTGTTTGCATTACGATCAACACTCTGTGATCCTTGCGAGCAGAGGGAATTATTGTGAAGTTCACAGGTAACTAACTTAAGGCACCTGACTCAGTTGTTCGGGCATAATTTCAGTTTTTCAGCTTCTTTCTTCAGCAATTTCTTGAATGGTTCTAACTATTTGTAGAGATTGATATTTCATGACTTTTGTTGTTTCTTCAAATCTTCCAGAGAAAAAAGAGAGATTAACCTTTTTGTTCTGTAGAATAATCCTTTGATTTAATTACTATCACAATGCTATACCGAGCGTTAAGCAACGATAATTAGTTTGAAATCTCTGCACTTCTGTTAGGTCTAGACCGAATAACCATCCTGTCACTGTAACTAATTAGGAAAATTGTGTTCTGTTCCAGATTTGGCAACGCTTACGACCACATCGCGAGAGCAGGCACAGTTCCAGTGGATGCTAATGCAGTAACGGAGGATCTAGCTTGAGTCAGGTAGAATTGGCTTGAAGGTAAGTTCACGAAGATTTGCTACGTTTTCGTTCTTAACATACTGTTGATTAATCGTCAACATTGCTCGACCTCTGTTTTTCCGACCACTGTTTTCCTAAAGCGTCAGAACGCGAGATAACTCGCGATCAATGCCAACAACGTTTGATTAACAAAGCACGAATTTTCTCGTGATCGGTCAACAATGTATTAACCTTTTGCCGTCAAAAGCCACGGATGCCACCGTCAGTATGATTAGAATTACGACCACAAAGGGCTAATCTATTCGTGTCTCTGTGCATAATTGCTATTGTTCGTTAAACCAGACTCCCGAATCTAACCAACGTAATTGTTTTTCTTCCTGAATTAGTTCTTGGAACAGCAGAATATGGCTGGCCCGAAATGGTTTGTTGAGTCATAAATAAAGAAAGAAAAAACTTTATGAATATTTGGGGTAATTTTATAAAACTACGTTACGCGATCAATGTGATTCTCTTACAAGTAAACCTACCCAAAGGTTACACACCGATTTCTTTCTAATTTAGCACAAATGTATAAATACAAAAAATATTTAGGTCATATTTTTTTCATTTTGGTTCACTTTGAGTTTCGCGGGCAGTTTATAGTTTTTTAATGTTTCACTCCTATCATCAACAAGTGCAACAAAAATGCATAAGAAATAAAATTGAATATAAAAAATAGTTAAATAATTTTAATATAATCGGCATACCCGAGACACGAATCATTCTAAATATCTTTAGCCGGGATTCCAACCGAAATATTTTAAATCTGTTACAAACGAAATATCATTAAGGCTCTCTATAGAAACATCTAAATTGTAATAAGAATAAGGCCAATGAGAGCTGGTGCTGGATGTTAGTACAGATATTGTGATGGGGAGGATAATTTTTCGCATGATATTATGATGGGGAGGATAATTTTTCGCAACTCAATAATTGAATCAATACGCGTAATAGAATATTAAAATAAGAGGGGTTTTAATAATTATAATTACTATTTAAAATTATATTAGGGGATTTAGGGTCGGTTTGCTAGTAGATTCATCGCGTATGTTAAAGACCGGAAATCCCATTCAGCGCGTGCGTTTGACACTGCAAACATGATTATTCTCCCCATTATAATATATATCTGCACTAACATCCAGCATCAGCTCTCATTGGCCTTATTCCTATTACAATTTAGATGTTTTAAATCCGTGTTAAATTAGTCAAAGATGGTTTGGCCAAACCGAGAGAGAAATCCGGCAATTTTAATTAAAATTTTAACAAAAACGGCATAGCTGAGAAACGAAGCATTCTAAATTTCTTTAGCCGAGATTCCAACCGGAATATTTTAAATCACGATCATTTATAAATTTTGTTTAATTAATATTTTGATAATTATTACGAATATCGCAAAATAGTACAAAACGTTTATTTTAATCCGTACTATGCCTCCACGAAAGCTTCGAAGGTTGTTCTGGGACACTTTGTACATGTACATACATGCATTGAATGAAGCGCACCACTCAGAACAATTGCGGATTCCCTTTTTCGAATGCCAATATCAGTTATTTAAATATCATATTATTGTAAATATATAAAAAAAGCAATATATTTTCAATATTGAATATTTCATTACGACATTTAATCTTTTGGCAATCGAAAGGCATATTTATATAAACGCGATACCTTGATTATTTATTTTTAAATTAGGTCAGGATACGCTACAAGTAATGAATGAGAATATTCTCATTTCATGCGATCCCTTAATCGTTTCGAATAATATATAACGCGCGATTACTTCATTTGCGCTGATAGAATATACGCGACTATCACGATTATTAAACATTTCTAACACGTGTATTGCGTCACAGCTACAAGTAAGGCTCGTAAATTAAATTCACTAATCATGAAGGTAAGCTGAGCGAGAATGTCACGCCTGTCAATCACCTCGTCCGCGTACGGCATTGATCGATCTTGCGATCGACGCAATCGATTTTCGACCTATGATATTTTTTGTACGCAATTCGCGTGTATGTTCTAGAAATGGCGAAATTTATCGTATCGCGCGAGTGCGTTGCCGAATGCGTCAGGATTGATCGAGTCGCAATAGATACTCGTTAAATGACAATAAATCTAGACGAATTCGCGAATCCCCCGATCTCGTCTTTCATTGATCCGATTCGTAGATTCCGCTTGGAGATAAATCGAATCTTTCTATTGTTACCGACGTCAGTCCGTTAAATGCAGTTGAAATATGAGTACGAATCGCGTGAGTGTAGTGAAATGTGATAAAGTGTAGTGCGATCAACGCGGGACGCTGCAGGATGGAGGCAACGGGCGTAACGGAGTTTGCACGCGCAGGTATGTAGTTCAGGACGCAGTGAGGCGAGCCTCTCATCGACGTCCTGGTTGGACGTCGTTGAGTCTCGCTGGACATCGGTGAACTTTGTTGGACGACGATGAATTTCAATGCGAAATGGTGAGCGTACAAATTCAACGCTTACAAAATGTCATTACATTTGCATGCGTATATGTAAATCGCATCGATCTCCAACGAAAAGTAAGATTGGGAGCCTCCGCACACTGAGAAAGAAAAATATCTAAGAAGTAGTAAATATTTATTCGGTGAGCATTAATAACGTATTCACTTATATTAACATATAAAATATTATTCATGTAAGAAAATTTTCTCAAAACCTTAAGAAAACCTTAGTTTTTCATGAAAGTAATTGTTTATTCTACACTGAGGGAAAAATTACCTTAAAATCAACAAATATTTCTTTGATGAGTGCCATTAACATATTTACTTAAATCTAAATTCTTTTTATTTAAATCAAATATTGTTTACCTGATTTAAATAAACAATATTTGGTTCAAATAAAGATAATTTAGATTTAAATAAATATGTTAATGGCACCCATTAAAGAAATATTTGTTAATTTTAAGGTAATTTTTCCCTCAGTGTACTTAAATAAAACAATTTAAATTTAAGTAAATATGTTATTAGCATCTACTAAAAAGAAATATTTACTATTTATTAGATATTTTTTCACTCATAGCGCACAAGAATGTTTGTAACACTTTTTAAAGTATTGATCGTAAACTGAAGTCAGTACGTAATAGTAAACTCAAGTGAGCGTATAAAGAAAACCGTAACGTAACAAAACCATGATTCTACGTGACCAGGCATCTCATTATTTATAAGGTAGTATGAAGTATATATTAAATATTTCATAATAAAAAGTTACCATCTACTTAAAATCTATATAGTCTGACATCTCATACATAGTCTAACATCTTATAGTTTACGTTGTCTATAAGTAGATGTAAAATACCATAATTTACGCGTGAATATTCAATTTTACTTTAGACTTTGTTATATCAATCTCTACATATTATAAAAATTATAAAAGTTTAAGTCTATAAAGTCAAGATACGTTGTTACACTCGGCTTATAAGAAACGTATCGTATCTAAAGCTTAACAATGCGTAACTCCGGCGGCAGACGATGCGTCAAGTTTCAGAATTTGCTTTATCATAGAATACAATAGCGTAATAGTTTTTAGAAGTTCTCTCTCTCTCTTTATACAGAGTGTTAAAGAAAAAGAGTTCAAGACTTGCATGGTAAATAGTACTCATTATACTGAATAAAAATACAAATATAGGTCGAAAAATCAACGCTTTTAGAGTTACAAATATTTTTTTTGGTTTTACTAACGTTAGTTATTTATGTATTTTCATCGTGATCAGAGATTTTCGAAAGAAGACATGTAAACTTTGGCAAACATCAAATGTCAAAGGAATGAGTATCTTACTATATCCTTTCTTTTACATGATATTTATTAAAAGTAAAATAATAAAATGATACATGATACATGATATTATTAAAAGTAAAATAATAAAATACTCGTTCCTTCACCGTATCAATAAAAGCACATAAACAATTTGCGTTACCAAAACATTCATAATTCTGAAGGGTTGACATTACGACCTATGTTTGCTAAGCATTTTTTAGTATTTTTTAGTATAATGAGTATCTATTCTACAAGTCTCGAGATCTTTTCTTTTTGAACGTCCTGTATATTCGTGCTCAGTCGATCGCGGAGACACTGCCGTGTTCTCGAGTGTGACGTAATTCGCGAAGAGGAGGAAGTTACTTACGTCGCCCTTTTCCGGCACGTATTTAGCCAACCAGCCCCACATAATGCCGAATCCCAGGCCGCCGATAATGGCGATGGGCCCCTGTAGAATCTGGTACCAGAGCGCGTCGTGGGAGAACATGACGCTCTTGACGATGCCGTGTACCGCCACCGACGCCGCGTCGTCGATCCCAGCCACCGCGATAATCAGCGTCGGAATGCCCTGGAAAGTGCATCACGGACTCGTTAGTCTCAGCTGTGCGCCGCTTGGTCGCGAAAATTGGTACATGTCGGATGTCTTTTACGTTAACGCGATGCAAACGTCCAACGATTATCGCCGCCCCTAAGGAAGGGTGACATCGATTGTCGAGCGTGCGATAGCTGTTATAATAACGGATATAATATCCTGATTATTTAATAACGAATTACGCTGCGGCTCACCGAGTTGTAAATTAACTAAACCGCATCAACTATTTATCGACTTGTTGACAATATATATACGTATTTGAGGTTTAACGTTCTGGCTTTATCGCGCTTGCTCTTCTCTCTCTTTCTCTTTCTCTCTGTGCATCGTCCCAATGCAAATTTTTAGATAATACTACGTACGAGTGTGCACATACACACTTGCACGCGCACGCATACACCCACATAGGCAGCATCGCTGGAAACATCTAAATGAAGTAAGAAGACAGGATACGAAAGGATTCTCGAGTGTAATCACCTCGATGCGGGATTTGGTTTACACGCGCGGTTCGTTAATGAGAACTCTCTCTCTCTCTTTCTTCCTTTTTTCTCCTTTATCGTTCCACTCGCGAAACGAACGGATTCTGAGCGATTTCAAAGGGATTAAGAAACGCTCGCGCCAACGTACGGACAGACCGAAAAGAATCCTTGCCGGAAGTAAGACGGACGATAGAGTGATGCCGGGGGCTATCGAGAGAAGAAGAGTGCAAAGAGGAAAGAAAAATCAGCCTTTTCAAACTTGGTGTCCATTAGAGAACGGATATGGCTCTTTTTTATTTTTTCTTTTATTTCTTACAAAGAGACACGGTTTCGGAGACATTCGAGTTTCGCTGTTCCAATTCGCGAACATGTCCTGTGCTACGATTCAAATCACTTAGAGTGCACGGAGAAAATATTGTAGGAAAAATTATAACAAATTTTTTACAATCTAAGACTAATACGGACATTGTTGCCGAAATACTATATATTTAATTAATAATGTTTCTGTTTAAAACGTTTTATACATAATAGACATTTTAATATAAAATTATTGTAATCACTTGAATGTCTTTTATATCGTATAGTTAGTAGATCGTTAAAATAATTTTTCCTACACCGCAAAGTTTAATTTATATTAAATTTAGTCCCAATTTATCTACTGAAATTTTTACGTTAAATAATGACAAATATATAAGCAGAAAATATAATTTATCTGTGCATATATTTTGCATGTAAAATATATTACCAAGAATTGATATAAATTGCGTTATTTTAACATTTAGAAATATTGAATATTAATCCTACGTCAAGTCTCACAAAATCAAATCAAAATAATACAACAACAATTTACTAAATTAATTTACCGTTAAAAATTTAATAAAAATTTCTATACAAATCGATTTCAAATATAAAATATTTTTTACTCATCTATAGTAATTTATACAACTATATCAGTATAGTCTAGTTTTACAAAAAGCATTGTAAAGTAAAATATAATTTTAACGTAATTTTTATAACGTTATTTTAACTATAATATTTTCTGAGTGTACAATCCATAAATTTTTATATTTTCAAGTAGATTCCAACGCGCGCGCGCGTTTAAGCAAATAAAATATAAAGTTATAATATAGACACTCGTGAACACGAGTGATACAAAAATTAATCAAACTAACAATGCATAACAGAAATTTCAATTATTTTTACCGTATCCTTCTCGCGGTATTTAATTATAAATTTGTATTGTGCAAGCATATATATTCAAGCAACATGAACTTGCGGAATGGAACTTGCAGGGCCATGAGGAACGCTTTCTCTTCAGTCCTGATCATTTGGCACATTAATGAAAGGAAAGCTCGAACTATATTGACGTTTTTCTTCTGTATTTACAAAGTATGCGCCTAAGCAAACGTCTAAGACGCGATTCTCGCGGCATGAAATCAAACAATGCATCTTTCGATCTCGCACTTTGTAAACACAGAAGAAAAACAACAATATAATTCGAGCTTTCCTTTCACTGACATCTAATCAAATGATCACGGCTGAAGGGAATGGTGTGTGGAAGGGGAAGCGTTGATCCCGAAAGTTGCGTTCCGGACTTCGCGTTCCTCGAGGGTACTATCGTTTGAAGCACACTCTGGATAAAAGTTTTTCTGTTTCCTCTATAACTTTCGCAAAGTTTTCAAAAAAAATTTTCCAATTTCCAAAAGCCACTCTCGGCGTTCCAGCGCAATGTTGTTAACAAGGCTGGTATCTCGCGCATATGCACTGAAGCCTACTGGAGCGTATATGCGAGAAAGCGGCCATGTTAATACTAGTCCGGGTATCTCATCCAGTATTATCGCCTGAAGCATACTTTGGTGTGTAAACATTTCTTTCTGTTCTCTCAGTAATTTTCACAAAACTTTGAAAATAATCCTTTTTTCGAAAGTAGGCTCGAGCATGTGTATCTCGTTGAATACTATGATGGAGCATATTTCTCAACTTCTAAAAGTCACTCTTCGAAGCTTGAATCCAGCACAGTTATGAGCAAGGCCGGTTTTTCGCGCATTAGATTGAATTGTTTTGCTGCATTGTATTTCTGTTGATTATTCCTAACACGAATAACCTTCCTAACTGACGTAAACGAAATGTCAAAATGTCACAACTGTTTGGATATATCGTCGTCGCGTCTTCGAATAATCAATAGTCACGACACATGATCATATAGAAATAAATACACGTGGTCGAACATTTTTAGTAACTCCCGATCTAGAGAGAATGGCCAAGGATATTTGGATTCTGGTGTATATTATAATTCCTCAGTTAGTTAGGACAAAATATGATGATTCCTGGGGGGATTGGTCTACATCCTGTCCATCATTTTTAGGGATGACGTGGATGGGAGTGAAAAGGAAACTTTAATACGTCGAAAATAATTTGCCGATAAATATATGAGCTCGAGATACCATCACACAATCTAAAACACGAAAAGAAGCTGAGAGGTAAGCTGAGAGATTCCCTCGTTTCATGAATAATCGACGTCGCGCAATTCACAAATCTCAGAAACGATCCGTCCGACGATCTCTGAGGGCTGCCCGAAACATTAGTCATACGGAAGTAATCCGCGAAGAATCAAGATATTCCTCTTAAGAGACGGAGCCTCGGCTATGAAAGGGTTGAAAGGGGAGAAAAAGCGAGGTGAGGCGAGGCGCTATTGAGAGTAGTCGACGACACTCGAGCACGGTTCTCGCGGGCGTTATCGGTGTCACGATAGCTCGTTCGGAATTTAAGCCCGCGGACTATCGTGATTCTCGAAGTCGGACTACCACGCTGAAAAGAGGGAAAGAAAGCGAGAGGCCGGGAAGGAGAGAAGCGGAAGACGTCTAATAGATCGCGGCGCACGATCGTGACGGAGATCGGAGGGGTCAGCGTTCGAGCTTCCGCTCATGAGTGCTCGCGGGTGCTTACGAGCACTCGTGAGGTGCTCGAGTTTGCACCGACGATCAGTCAACGTCTCGTCGTAAAGTTTTCCACTGGCGCTGCGCGATAAGAATTTCCGATTTTGCAACCAACGAATATCGGGGATTCCCGCCACCCTCTCTCTCTCTCTCTCTCTCTCTCTCTCTCTCTCTCTCTCTCTCTCTCTCTCTGTACCTTCCCCCGATCTCTCTCGCTCTCCTTATCCTCCTCGACTCACCAAGCCGCCGTATATACATTATCACGTCGCGATCTCTCCGCCGACTCGCGTCGCGTTACACTTCGCCAAATGAAGAAGTATCGTCTAGATCTTTTCGGCTCATGAATATCACATTCACCGCGACGGCCTTTGTACTCTTCAGGCAACTTCCAGTCCATTTCCTAAACTGAATTATTTAAGTCCAGCACGTTTCATTCGCTTCGTCTTTGTTCTGTCTCAGCCGGAAGGAACCGGACTCTCTCGCCGGCATCGTCTCGTCGTAACCCGCCTGTTTGCGCTGCCGCATTGCGAATTTTTGCAAATCCCTCCCGACCAATCTCCCGAGAAGGTCGTAATTAAATTGGCAGAAGTGACGCACACATGCTCGGCACACACGGTGAAGATTTCGGCGAGAGATTCGGCAGTGCATTCGGGGTGTCGTTGCATTCGTCACGCGTAATATCGTTCGGCTGCGTGCAGACCGACATCGCGAGTGCTATACTCCATCCTCGCCGGAGTGCGCCAAAGGCCCAGCGCCAACGTGCAAGGTGAAAGAAATTTAATTATCGCGTTGGGTTCATTAACACGGAAATTCCTCTAACGCGCTAATGTCGCGCGTCAAGCGTCGCGAGGCGTAAACGCGCAGCGGCCGTACATCTGCACCATTAAATAAATTCGCTTTGTCACGCACGCGGTAGCCGATTAATATAAAACCCGAGTCGCAATGTAATCCAATTATTCGCATAATTACGACTAAATATCAACTGCATTCTCGATGGTTGCCGCGTGTGTGTAATGCAGCATGATATTCGCTTGTCCCGGGTGAGAGAGAAAGAGGGAGTTAAAGTTTATTCTTTAGTCTTGGCTGCTATATATATAGCGTCAGACTTGACAATGTTTGGCACAGATGCGAGACGCAATATGTGTGTGTATATGTATATGTGTGCCTTAAAATTTTGTGCAGTTTTACAATGCATTGACGCGGGAAATTTTTCTTGAAGATATAAAGATTCTTTAAGGATACATTGCTCGTAAAGTCCCTGCAAAAAGTTATTAGAAAATAGAAATATATTAATATTCCTATTTTCTGTATAAAAACCGTGTAAAAAACGTAAGGTATGTACAGAATATTCCAAGTTGAACAAATACTCGGTGATCATATTAGGAATTGAATTTTGAAGACAAAAATTCCCGTAAATATGTCTTTGAAAATGTTTCGTTTAAAAGTTATTACTAAAAAGATTCGATTTCCATATTTGGGGAAAGTTTAGAATCGTAATTTATTCGGAATTAATTGACACAAAGGAAGAACTTATTGCTAGAATTCAGAGGGCTTGCGCAGAAAG